TCATCACCAAAGACACGAACAAGCCCAACTGCGAGGAGAGCCTGCTGCACTGCGCCGTGCGCTCCAATGCGCTCGAGTGCCTGCAGCTCTTCATTGGCGAGGGCGCAGACGTTAATTCGCTGAAGCCCAACGGCACCAATGCCATACATCTGGCCGCGGATCTGGGTCATCTGCAGTGCCTGGAGGCGTTGCTGAATGCGCCCAATGCCGATGCCAATGTGCGCATCTGCATACGCGAAAAGGAGTCCACGGCTTTGCATCTGGCCGCGGATGAGGGCAATGTGGAGTGCGTTGATTTGTTGCTGTCGAAGGGTGCCGACGCCAAGCTAAAGAATCATCGCGGCTTCACGCCCCTCCATCTGGCCGCGCGCACCTCCAGCCTGGAGTGCGTCGAGTCGTTGCTGCGCAACGGCAATGCGGACGCCAATGCGGAGGACTTTGATCATCGGACGCCGCTGCATGCTGCGGTGGGCAAGTCCGAGAACGCCTACGATATCATGGAGACGCTGATCCAGTGGGGCGCCAATGTCAACCATAAGGACATCTATGGCTTTACCGCACTCCATCTGGCCGCCCTCGATGGGCTTGTCCAGTGCGTCGAGATGCTCATATTCCATGGCGCCGATGTCACAACCAAGTCCAAGAAGGGCACATCCGCCTTGAATGTCATCACACGCAAGACGCCCGCCTCGGTTGCGATGATCAGGCAGAAATTGGATGCGGCCATAACGCTGCATCATTCCCAGGTGAATAACACAATTCCCTGGCCATTAACTAACCATTAACCAATTATTTGTAATATAGGATCCTGTTAATCGTGAGGTGGAACTGGAGCTGGACTTTCGCCAGCTGCTGCAGCATTGTCATCCGCGTGAGATCAGCTATTTGAATACGTTCGTGGACGAGGGCCAAAAAGAGATACTGGAGCATCCGCTGTGCTCCTCCTTTCTGTACATCAAGTGGGGCAAGATACGCAAATACTATATTGGCCGCCTGATCTTCTGCTTTAGCTTTGTGCTCTTCCTGACGCTCTACGTGCTGACGGCGTTGGCGCACAACTGTTACAACGGCAGCAAGGATGACAACACAACGATTCAGGCGCAGGAACTGTGCCAGAAGCAATCCATATTGGGTGATATGCTGCGCAATAATCCGTTTGTCATGGAAATGCAATGGTGGGTGCTGGTGGCCATTACCATAGTGGAGATATTCCGTAAGCTATACGGCATAACGGGCTACTCCTCGTTCCGGCACTATGTGACGCAGGTGGAGAACATCATGGAGTGGTTCGTCATAACCAGCGTGTTTGTCATCTCGTACATATACACGAAGCAAACGTACACGTTCCAGAACCACATTGGCGCCTTCGCCGTCCTGCTGGGCTGGACCAATCTGATGCTAATGATTGGCCAGCTGCCCGTCTTCGATGTCTACGTGGCCATGTATACGCGCGTCCAGGGCGAATTCGCCAAGCTGTTCATGGCCTATTCCTGCATGCTAATTGGGTTTACCATCAGTTTTTGCGTCATCTTTCCATCGTCGTCGTCGTTTGCCAATCCCTTTATGGGCTTTATCACTGTGCTGGTCATGATGATTGGGGAACAGGATCTGTCGCTTTTGATCAACGATCCCGATGGCAAGGATCCGCCCTTTCTGCTGGAGGTCAGCGCACAGATTACGTTTGTGCTCTTCCTGCTGTTCGTCACGATCATTCTGATGAATCTGCTCGTGGGCATTGCGGTGCACGATATACAGGGCCTCAAGAAAACCGCCGGCCTGTCCAAACTGGTGCGTCAAACGAAGCTGATCAGCTATATTGAGTCGGCGCTGTTCAATGGCTATTTGCCGACATGGTTGCGCAATCTGCTGCATTATACGGCGCTCGTCTCGCCGCAGGCCTATCGCGTGGTGCTCTGCGTTAAGCCGCTGAATCCCAGCGAGAAACGCTTGCCGCGCGACATTCTGATGAAGGCATACGAGGTGGGCAAAATGCGCAAGCACTTTGGCCATACAATCTCCTCCAAGAATCCGGGCGAAAACTATCTATCGTACAAGAACAAGTACAACAATAACAACAGCTGTGCCGCAACCGCCTATGCATTGCCCGATCCGGATCCGGAATCGACACAGCTCACCACGCTGACAAGCAAAATCGATGACAATGCCGATCGCATCGAGTTTCTCACCCAGGAGATTCAGGAGCTGAAGCAGGCGCTCATATCACAGCAGCAGCAGGCCAGCAAGGTGATCGACAAGCTGCTGATCGTCATCTCGAATCAACAGAAGCAGCAAATGCGCAAATAGCAGCTCCAGCAAGCCATTTACTATTATTATTATTACTATTACTATTATTATTATAATCATCCCAATCCACATTTAGTTCGAAGCTCTTAGCCCTTAGACTCTTCTTGTGCGTGTGTAATTGCCCCAAGATCCCCGAAAAATGTTGATATTATATTGTAGTTAGCATATTTGATATCGCAGCGTCTGTCGCTCTACATATTTATGCTTTTTAGCCATATACTCTACTCTATTCTACATCATATATATACAGATATACAGATATACAATTAATAAAGACTAGTTGGTAGGCTATATTAGAGGCGAGAAGCTGGCAGGTTTGTTTTTGGTCTGCATTCGATAAATGTGTCTGGTTTTAGGCTGTGTCTTTTTGTTGTTTGGCGTTGTCGTTTGAGATGCGTTTAAATGATAATTATATATGAAAGGTATATATGTTTTATATGAATAAACTATCTAAATATCTATTGTTACAAATCTATGCGAGCAGCTCTTAATTGCCGACTTCCGATTCTTGCTATGGAGGTAAAGTTTAGAGCAGTCCGATTGTGAGATCTGTCCGCAGTTTGGTCAAGAAATCTTGATGAACATAAGAGTTTTGAGCTCGGAGAGGTGCTACCCTGTTAGACGAACATGGATAATGCTCTCAGCTATTGATACTGATCAAGAATATATATATACACTTTATGGGCTCAGAGAAATTTCTCATAATAAAATGATAATACTCTCCACAAGCTAATACAAATATAGCTGAATACAAAATAGGACTCACCTGTTCCCTGCACTCTTCCAGGCTGAAATATGAGATATCCTGGCCATTAATGGTTATCTTTCCTGTGCCGGGCAGACGCACTGTGACATCGGCGCGTGCCGTTTTACGCAGACACTCGTAGGTCGTTACGTATTGGCGGCCCTGCTCATCAATCTTGGGCTTGGGCACTTCCAGTTGCTTGGATTGATCAATCAAGGGCTTTAGAAAGCGCTCAATAAACGCTTTGCTTTTGTATGCATACGGCGATAAAATTAAGCGTTCCATGGCGCTGGTAAAATTTTGATACTCTATGTCCGCAATGTGCTCCACGAGCACGCGCTCCAGTTGCTCCTTCGGCAAGAGCTGAAAGCCAGCAATTTCGCTTTTAAAGTAAATGAAACATTAGCTCAACAAGATATGTAAGTTTGGAGTGTGGTGCACCTACAGCTTTTGGTTCTCATCCGGCTTGTTTCCGCGCCGCAGCATGCGCTCTTCCAGATCGTGTAGCTTATTTGTTTCCGTCACAATATCCTGGCAAAAGGTTTTCATTTGAATTTTGCATATTTTATTATGACAAAAGCAAAGAGCTTACGTGCAACAGCTGGAAATAGTTGGGTTTGCCAGTGTAAAACATGCTGTGAAAGGGGCGACCCGTCTCATCGAACTCGGCTGCTTTACGCGCTGGGAACACCTCCTCGGGCGATCTCATGGAGGGACGAGCGCTTTTATCAAACAGCCCGGAAGGAAACAGATAGGTAATGGCTTCCTGCAAGTGAATGGCTAGAGTAAGAACTGTTGAGAATGCTTTAATATACTCACATCAATGTCCTCTTGCGTAAAGGTCTCTGCGTCGGCGCCCATCATGTTGGCCAAATGGCGCTTGCCAATTTGGAACTCCAAATGCTGCGTTTTCATAAACTCGTCGTGCTCATTAGCCCGCTCCAGGTAGGCCTTCATGGCCTTGCTCACCTTTTGCTTCTGAACCGCCGCCGGCGTGGCCTGGACAGTTACCTGTGTGGCGTACGGCGCCATCGCAACCTGCATAAATGTTATGCAAACGAATCGGTGAGTTGTTTGTCCAACCTCAAATTGTGCCGTTAACTCAATGCGAAGTTTGGCGCTCAACTTACCGCGTGCGCATTGGATGCTCCATTGTTTTTGACAGCTGTTTGGAGCAAATTTCTGTTAGTTTTTATTAAATTTAAGCCTAAAACACGCAGTGACATAGTTCTTGTATTGTCGCACCGTGGGGCAGGAAGAGGAAGACAGTTGTCAGCTGTTTTGCGGGGTCAGTGTTGTGCAGTGTCACAAAAACTAGGTGGCAACCCTTGTGTGACGATTTAATGGGCGCCAATTTTAAACACAATTCTTGTTAAGGTTGACAACTTTGCTGCAGTATTAATGCAGAGCTGTGGAAAGTCCTCTGGAAGTTTTGTCGTCTCCAAGATAGAGTCTGCATCCACAATCTTGTGCTTGATCCAAAGATTTTGTCATTATAGCTAGGGTACAACGGCCTATACTATATCATAAATTACCCATATTGTCATAAAAATTATGATTTGCATGTAAATTATTTTAGGTTTTCAAAATATATATATATATATATTGATTGGCTAAATAAATACTAAGCACAAGAATATTAGCAAACAATATGTTGTGGGCATTTTCTTACACAATTAAAACACAACAATTTACCTTTTGGCCTTCTTAAAAATGTTTTTTTATTGACTAATTTGAAAAACACACAATGCTGATATTTTGAAGTATGAAAAGTAAACACAAAACGAAACGAAAAAATGCAATGAAAACTTCTTCAACAGATAATTACTTGATTTTACGCTATATATATATTTATATTTATAAATAATTGCCTAAGCTTAGAGAAAAGAATTGTTATCAATTGCATTATTAGGTAAAATGCAGCTACTTCAATTCATTCTCTTCGGTCTACTCCACTTTTCTTCATGTTATTATTTTTGGTCGTAGTACAATTTACATAAAGCAATTACATATTTATATAATAATTCCACTTCTATTTCCACGCCTGTTTGAGCAGCTTACGCGACGCTAAATGCCTAACAATCAAAGAGCCCGAAGTGAGCACGACTAGCACTATGGAAATTAATATATAGTCAAAATCCTCCTTCAGCAAATCGAACGTTTTTGATGGCGAAACGCGCGTAACGAACAAGTCTGCAATAAAAACTTAATTAGTATCGATTGATGCATTTAATAGTACGTAATTTACCTAAGCCCGTAGCCACAACTAGACAGGTACTCTCCAGACCGCTGGGTGCCGTATAAATATTACGTAAACGTGCAACCGTCTGATTGTAATTTATATAATTTTCAGTTGGCAAAGGCAACTCAGGTATATAGGGAATGGCGCCCTCTTCGCGACCCTGCGTAGTGGATGATATTGGACGACGTGGATCCAACAAGTGCCAGGGCATTTCAACAATGCCGCCGCTCGCCGTACCAACTAGTTAAATAAAGTTTTAATTAATCAAAACTGCTGGCCAGGATTATAATATACGTTGTCTTACTTAGGACATGCTTGTTGGTAATGCCGCGTTCGGTGATGGTCTCGCGCATTGCCTCCACAATTGTTGGTATGATGTAGGATTGACGCTCCACGAGCGGCATGGACGGTGCCTGCAAGGAGCTCCAGACGCTATTGTTGGCCTGCGCATTGCCCTCATACAGTTCAATCGTGGCTGTTTTAAGTACAGGACTGCCTTTGAGGAAATTACCATTGAATGGGATTGCATTTAACTTACTGATCTCAGTTCGTCGCACTTTATCGTTGAAATAGGAATAGGCTAGCCAATTCTCCGAGTGTACAATGTGCAGAGGTGGACGAACCTTACGGTGCGTCATCGAGAAGATGACGGAGCCAGACACAACATCAATTAAGTACAAATTGAGCACCGCTAAATAAAATTAAAACAAAAATTATATTTTAGAATTGCACAAGAAGTTTTCACCTGGGTTGACCTACATTTGTGGGCGGCATCTGGAGCCTGTGTAACGAAGGCAACTAAGTTGGGATTTATATATTTGTAGAGCACCGAGCGATCGCCTAGCACACGGCCCTGCGAGTGCACGTGCTCAATTGGATTTTTGCTAGCAACTCGAATGATTTGTTGTTCTGAGTTGTGACCGCCCAGACGCACATTCCAAATGGGCAAGCATGACAGTTCCTGCAAAAGCAACAGTTGATTTAGAGCTTCAATCTTTATATCATTTACTTACACCGCCCGCATATTTCACAAAATAGCCCTCGAGCTCAGCGGTCTTCACATTTGCTGTGTACAGATATATGCCATGTGCCTGCAATAAAAATGCGGGTTAAAATTTAACCAATTCGATGACATGGTTCAATTTACCAAAGGCGTCGCATGCTTAGGCTCCACATGTACTTGGTTGGTGCCATCCAATATAAGTATGCCCTTAACAAAGTCTTCTTCCGTTTCGGGAAGAAGCGCTAACTGCTTAATTTGGTAATCCAGTTGGAGCAGTCCACCTTCGGCAGCGCGTCCTGTGATCGGGTTGAATCGAAATAATACACCGTTGCTATTAACCTGTCGGGAAGATCGTTATATGAGCTTTTCATAATGCTAAAAAACTCTATTTTAGGCATACCGCAGACTTGGCAACAATTGCGCAAAGCGGCTGCAATGGAAAGTGTTTGGAGCTTCGCTGCACAATCAGACGCATCTGTTCGGCATTCTCAAAACCCGCTACATTGGGCAGATACAGCTTCCAATGATGTTTGCCGGCAATGTTGTCCACGCCAAAGATTTTGCCCGTGCGCGTCAGCAGCACCAGCATCTTGTGAAGTCCAAAAGAATCGCGCACAAGTCCGGCCCGTTGTGTGTCCGTTGGTGGTGGGCCCAATCCGATGACATGCAAGAACAGGCTCTTCATTTGCAGTGCTTGCGTGGTAATACGCCGCATAAAGGCGCTGGCAATGTCACCTAAAGAGACGAGTTAACGATCTTTTAGAAAAGCACAGTCTAATTGTCCTTAAAAAAAATGTAGTTTTTTTTGAATGTATACCTAATTGTGCATAAACATAAATGCGTGTTACTAATGTTTATGCTATTAGAATTATTAATTATTTAACAGTTACCCTTACCTAACTATTACGTACATTTAAATAAGAAACTGTGGCTGCGTTCTTTATACCCAAATATTTCAATTATACCACGAATATATTTTATCAACAATTGTGCCATAGTCGGCTTTAAATAAGTTAAACAACTTACTATTTAAACTGTGTGCATCCACTTTTGTAAGCATTAATAAAATATATGAATGAATATGAATTTTGCTTAATTTGATAAATATGTAGTTTTGTAGTAGAGCCTTACCTGCTTTGCCCTTCATTTCGTTCTCAAGCGTGCCCTCAGTATCAGCTAAAGGTAAATCAATGAACTGCGTATCAATAACGTTCGCCAAAGATTCCTCGCGTGCCCAACGGACACGTCCTTGCTGCACGGCAACAATGGACTCAGCGCTGGTGGCAAAAATAAAGAGACAATTTTTTCCGTCGCCATTGCGCTTCGCCTTGCAGTCAAAGGATCGTAGACTGGGCGCTCCAAAGTCTTCCGCAAACGCTACGCTCTGCTGCAGCTCAGGCACGGGCGTGCAGTTGTCCACATAAACAGCATTAATTTTGAGCACCTAAAAGAAATCCGATTTAGTAAAGGCATCTTTTAGGCTGTTCAACTTTAGACACTTACGCCGTCTACCAAATCGGCATAGGCCAGAACTTTGCGTAAATTAAAGCTGCCGACAAGATAGCTGGCGCTTGTCAGTTCGGAGCAGACGGCCTGATCCTTGCTAACACTTATGAGTTTTTTATCGACAATCAGCAAGCCGTTTAAGCCCTGCAAGAACGTGGTCAGCAAGATAATCAATTATTGCATTTTATTATAACTTACCGGTAGAGATTGAATTTTGCCGCTGGGTTCGGCTCCTAAAGGCGTGGCAATGACCTGCGTGCTCTTGGCCACCAAATCCAGGCTTATGAGCTGCTTGCCATCCAGGCAAACATAGAAGGTGCCGCTTAGCAAACAGCTCTGCGGCTTAATCCAAGCGGCCATTATCTTGCTGGTGCTGCCCGTTGTGTGTCCCGAGGTTGCAAAGTATGCGGTTACCTCGATATGGCTGCGCCAAACGGGAACGACATGATAGAGCACAGAATTGCTATAGAACCAGACCGCATCCTGTGCCCTTTCCGTATGCAATGGCATTATGGACCATTCCCATTCGATTGTGCCAATATTGGTGTTCCAGCCGCGCACCAGAGCCGGCGCGTGGCCCTGCACAGTTAGCATATCAAAGCCAAGATGTGAGCCCATCGGAGCAGCCGCCGTGTCGCTGCTATCGTCGGCAAAGCCGCTTACTTGCAGCAGCTTGATGTCGCCACGCGGCTTTTGCTCTAGCACCTGTCGCCAGATAATCTCACCGGTCTTTGGACATAATGAGGCAACCACTTGCTCGTGCGTGCTCAAGAGTACGCGCGGTTGAAAATGGTTGAGGTCGACGTGAACTTGTTTAAGAGCGCCCAAATGAACGCTTCGCCTGTTTACAGATAGAAGGTTAGTAAATGGTCAAAGTCGATGTCTGTGACACTTGCCAGTCGAATTTCTTAATCTGGTCCTCGTACAGGCCAGAGCAGGTGCTCAGCAGCAGCAGCAGCGAGAGGCAGATAAGCGTACCGGCTGAAGACTGTCGACAAGCCATTTTGATGCGGTTCGCTTTGAAACCTGCTTTAAACTATATTAGGCACGAATAACGCAGTGGCCGACACGTTTTTAAGTTATAAATTAATGAAAACGTCAGTAATTTGTGTTTTCCGTCATAGTAAAGGGGGATGAGATGACAATTTTTGCAGGGCTGTAACTGTCTAATCCTATCGTCATCGATAATTCCAGCAGACGTTGCTCAGCACTGCTGTGACCTATCGATAAGAAATCGGCCGATATTTAAATATGCCAACGGCTACAATCGGATTTACAAACCACTTTCACAGTCTGGTTTAGGCTCGAGTATTTTTCTTTTAATGAATATTCCTATTAACGAACATAGTTTTTTATAGTATTGTTTTTAATAGTAATAAAAAAAAAAAACTTTTTCCGAATCAGACTTGGGCTTGGGCTTGGAATAGTCGTGGAAGACAGTTGAATCAGTTATGTTTACCTCGAACTTATTTTCGAAAGATCTTTGTTAATAATAATTTAAGAAGTGTGCCACACCTTAAGGAGATCCACAACTCCTTGATGGAATCTTTATTCCATCTGTATTTCGGAAAATTCATCCCAACTGTGTGGAAAACGGGTTTCAATAGTTTTATGGACAAAAGTATATTTTTCTGCTTCAAGCTTCACAACACGCGACTAAAATGGGCTAATTCGATTTAAGCTGAACTAATTTTAAATTTAGCTATGCCAAGTTCTAGATAGTACGGACAAATTTGTCTTGGCTGGAAAATGGGTAGAAAATTGTCTAAAATCGGAACTGGGAAATACCATAAAATAAATAAATAAATACACCTTAATTAAGCTGGTCGTATTCATTTTTAACAAAACTGAAGCACTTGTCAACAAATTTATTATAATTATCAAATTATTATTATAATCGTTATTTTTCCAAGGCATCGCAAATGTTGGACTTCAAGAGATTATATATATTGAAAATCGAATTGCTTGATAACAAAATATTTTGATTTCAAATTTCGCGACTGGTTTTTATTTACATTTTTGTTTTAGATCTGTGCTAATCTAGAAATGAAGCGATGCATGCAAATTGCCGAGCACCTTGGGACTGTGTCATTGAGCTGTTACCAAAGATGCTTGGGCTAAATGTCTTTCTTTTTTTTTTATTGGCATTCATATAAACAATAAATTGCAACAAAATGTATAATAGTTGGCCATTCGTTGGCAATATTGATGGCTATTTCTTTTGTACAAAATTTGGTCAATTTGTAGGCGAAGAGAGAGGGGGAGAGAGGGCTTTTCACTAAATCTAATATGTATGCATAAAGTGTATAATTTGAGCTTAAGTATAACTGGAAAATAATTCAAAATGGAAATGGATGCAAGCTCCATATGGGTGGGGCATTAAATGCAAAAAGCTGCAGCTCTACATTATTTGTGACAGGCTTTATACTGTAATGTTATATTTATTCGAGCTATGCGAGTCAATTGTCTACCAGCTTAGCTCGTCCGGCAGTCCGCCAGGATATTCGCCCGTCAGACAGGCGGTGCAATGACCCGTCGCCTTGCCAGATGCCACATGCTTGCGCTGCACCGTCTGGACCAGACCGGCGACACTCAGATAGGCCAGACTGTCGGCGCCCACATGACGGGCCAGTTGCTTGGCGTTCAGCTTGTTGGCGATCAGCTCCTCGCGCGTGGGTATATTGATGCCCATGTAGCAGGGATACTGCAGCGGGGGGCTGGCAATGCGTATGTGCACCTCGCGGGCACCAGCGTCGCGCAACAGCTTGATTATCGGCCCGATTGTGTTGCCGCGCACAATCGAATCGTCGATGAGCACCAGCCGCTTGCCGGCCACGTTCTCGGACAGCGCGCCGAACTTCTTGGCCACGCCCAGCTGGCGCAGGCGTGTCGAGGGCTGTATGAAGGTGCGTCCCACATAACGATTTCGGCACAGAACCTCGGCGAACTCCAGATTGGATTCGCGCGCATAGCCATGCGCTGCGGCAGTGCCCGACTCTGGCACTGAGCTGACAATGTCTGCTTCAACGGGTGCCTCGCGCCACAGCTGGCGACCGCACTCCAGACGCACCGAGTACACCATCTGGCTCTCGAAGATGCTGTCGCCGCGTGCAAAGTACACATACTCAAAGATGCAGAAGGCCATGCGCTTAAAGTCCGGACGCTCCACAATGTCAACGGTGCGATAGCCGTTGCGTGTCAGCTCGACAATCTCGCCCGGCTCCACTTCGCGCACATAGCGCGCACCAATGGACAAGAAGCCGCAGCTCTCACTGGACACCACCCAGCCATCAGCAGGTGTCTCCGTGCTGTGGCCCGCATGGCCCGAGTTGATGGGCACGATTTTGCCAATGCACAGCGGTCGGTTGCCGTACGTATCGCGCACCGCATAGATCTTGTCCGTCAGCATGATGACCAGCGAGTAGGACAATGGCGCCAGCATCATGAAATGCCGGATGCGTGCCGGCCAGTTGGGTCCGTCGTGCTCGGAGACGCCCTCCGGTGCGCAGCAAAGCGACTGAGCTATCAGCTCGCTGTCGCTGTGCGTGGACAGGCCGACGCCGCGGCCCAGCACCTCGCGACGCAGAGATTCATTGTTGACCAGCTCGCCGTTGTGGGCCAGCGCCATGGCGCCATGCGCCGTGTGCACCACAAACGGCTGGCAATTGACCACCTCCGAGGCACCGGCCGTGGAGTAGCGTGTATGGCCAATGCCCAGATTGCCACGCAGCTTCTTCATCGAATCGTCGTTGAACAGGGTGCTGATCATGCCCATGCCCTTGTGCACATTGAAGTTCTTGGAGCACTTGCCCTCGCTGGTCGCAATGCCCGCCGACTCCTGCCCACGGTGTTGCAATGCCACCAGACCCAAGCAGATCACGTGAGCAATATCAATCTGGGTTGGCCAGTCGCCGCAGGCAATCGCACCAAAAACGCCGCACTCATGCGTCAAACCGGTTAGCTCCTTACTTTCAGCAATGGTCAGCGGCGTGGGCAACTCGGCCTCCACCTGTTGATCGCGGCTCTCAATGCGCACATGTTGCTGCTGCTGCTGCGAATTGTTGCTGCTGCTGCTTGACATGTTGCTGCTGTGTGAAGAGGGGGGGGTTATTGTTAACCAGCTCGGTTAATGGAAGGCTTTGATCTGATTTACCTGTTGATTTATGCAACGGTTTTATATACACAAATCTTCGCTTCACACACGCAGGCAACTTACCGCGATCATTGGCAAAAGCTAGAGATCGATGATAGTATCGATAGCAGTTCAATATAAACTATCGATAGTTCTTAGTTCTCCATATGACTTGCATATCGGCAATAACGGAAAATAGTGCATTTATTCATTTAAATTATTTGTTTAAATTTAACTGAAATTTTGCATATTTGAATGTCTGCAACAACGGGAGCAGCTTTAAATTTTCGCGCCGCGAATAATCTTAACGATTTTTAATGAGCTGTGCGAACCTGTTCTTCATTATTAGACCTGTGTAAATATTTAAAAACACCCGAGTGCTTATTATCAGCATATTTATTAATACTGAATAACTCTACTCACATTCCCGATACTTTGAGGGGACATCAAGAAAATACTTAAAAGTTTGTTCATCTATTTAATATATACAAATATTATGAGTTGCTAACTTCCCGCCAAATGCTTTATAAAATTGTTCAACACTGACTGCAATCAGAGGATCGATTTACGTGCGAACTGGCAGCTCGATAGACCTTTTGAATGAACTGCAGGAAATTCCTTGTCACTTAATTATTTTCTCTAAAACTTAACGATAAATTTTATTTATTTTGAATGCTTAAGGTGATGCTGAGCATTATTCATGCTGAGCAATACATGATGTATGATTCCGGTTCCGGAACCGACTCCCAAAATTTTGCGCTGTTACCGATGCTAACTTGACGCACGTGCACTGTTCAACACTGTTACTTGCAAAACAGCTGAGAACAGAAATAGTTGTTTTCGTTTGCACGTGTTGAAATCGAAAGCATTCGCATTGTAGCATAAACATTTGATTTTAAATTACAATGATGACGCTGTCGTCTGTCCAGAAGGCTCCTCCAGCCGCAGATTCGTCCTCGGATAGTGGAGAAGAATGCGAGGTGAGCGCGTGCAACAGCGAAGGAAATCCCGCCTGGGCAAGAACTATTGCCAAATTGTTGAAACAAAATCCGCCGGAGAACCAAAAGAGAACGGTGCTCTCTCGGGCTAAGAAGTTGAAGCCCAACAATGCTCGGGTCGACAAAGCTAAGAAAACGTATGACTTTGAAATCGATGGAACCGAAGTCGAAGTGCCCAAAAAGGGCAAGGACATCAAGAAGGAGAAGCCGTCCGAACTCGATGCTCACCTGACGAGTCAACAGCGCAAAAATGTGCCGCTGCAGCTGCGGGTCAAACCAAATGCACAGGATCTGGAGCGAGAGCGCAACCTGCGCAAAGTGGCAACAAGCGGCACGGTGCAGTTCTATAATGCGGTGCGCATCCAACAGAAGGAGCTGCAACAGCAGCTGCAGGATGCCGGCCCGCTGGACAGTCGCAAGGATGCGGTGCTCAACAACATTGACAAAGGCAAATTCCTGGACGTATTGATGAGCGGCAAGCGTGCCAGGTCCGCGGCCATAGACAATAGGGTCAAGAAAGAGGAGCTGGAGTCGGGCTCGGATGATGAGGACTCAACAGATGATGAAATGCCAAAAGACGCGGGCAACAAAAAGAAGTCCGAATGGAATGTGCTGCGCGAGGACTTTATGACCAACAAGAAAATCAAGCACTGGGATGAAGAAGAAGAGGAACAAGATGATGAGAAGGCGGAAAGTGACGCCGCGGATAGCGAAGAAGATTAGCATATAAAGGTTTCTGTGCTAATTCTAGTTTTTAATAAAATTAGTTAACACATAAATTGTTCATTTGATCATTTCGGCATTGGACGTCATGTAAATGCCAACAATTAGGCCAAATAGTCCAATTGCGGAACCAAAGATTTCAACAATCAGTATCTTGACAAACAATGCCGAATTGGCGGCATCCGAGAGAGCTGCTCCCGAGCCCACAATCCCAACGCAAATGCCACAGCTGAGATTGACCAAACCGACAGCGAGTCCGGCGCCAAATGTTGCAAATCCCGTGAACATATTTTTGGTCATACTCTTTCGGTTGTTGATCACATGATGCATCACATACGTCTGCAGATTGCCCGAGAACACAATGGAGCTGATCAGACCGTAAATGGCCACCGCTTCGCAGAATATAACCGAGATGAGATTCTTGGTACGAATACGGGGCGAGCGCACGCCTCCTCCGACCACGCTGGTGCCGGTTATATATATGCCCATGGCAGCGCCGACCACGGATAGCGAGACGCAGAGTCCAATGCCGAGGCCAGCCCACATGTGCGGATTGGTTGTGTGCAGGAACCAGCTTAGACCAGCCCGTTCGCCAAAGCCGGTCATAAGGTTTCCAAAGATGAAGCCAATGCAGACGAAAATAAATATGCCGAAGAATATAATAAAAATGGTGCGTAAGCGCATTTTTGCTAATTCACGTTTTACACGAATGCCGACTGCGAATTGAAAGTGAGTTAATCTCAATGAATTAATGTTTCGTCGTGCTTATTGCTCAACTGTCAGAATTGTATTCAAAATTATTCGTTAACTTTGGCCGACCGTGTGACGTCAGAAATTCATTGCGGTGCTGCCAACTCGCTAAGCGCCGTCGCGTTCAACTTAACGACTCTTTCAAATATACAATGTTTTTTATATTAAAACATAATGTCAATGTATCAATGTTTTTTCGTGCTTATTTTTCAACTGTCCGAATTGTATTTAAAAGTAATTCGTTAGCTTTGGGCGGCCGTTTTTACGTTTTGGCCGAGCGTGTGACGTCAGAAATTCATTGCGGTGCTGCCAACTCGCTAAGCGCCGTTGCGTTCAACTTAACGGCCCATTCGAGTATACAGACAATGTTTTTTGTTTATTTTAAAATTAGGTTTTTTTCATTATGTTTTAAATAATATTAAATTAAAATTTAACGATTCGACTTGGCCACACGTTCAAGCTCATCCTTCTTCTTGATAGCATACGAATTGGATGAGCCCTTAGCGGCGTTAATCATCTCATCGGCCAGACACTCGGCTATAGTCTTAATGTTGCGAAAAGCGGCCTCACGAGCTCCAGTGCAAATCAGCCAAATAGCCTGCGGCATTAGATAGATTAGTTAGCAATTGAATTGCTGTGTTATGCTGAAGCACTTGCCTGATTGACACGACGCAATGGCGAAACGTCCACGGCCTGGCGACGCACAGTTCCAGCGCGACCAATGCGTGTGGAGTCCTCGCGCGGTCCGGCATTGACAATCGCATTAACCGTTACCTGCAGGGGATTCTCGGAGGTCAGCAAATGGATTATTTCGAATGCATGCTTCACGATGCGACAGGCAAGCAGTTTCTTGCCATTGCTGCGACCCTTCATCATCAGGCCACAGGTCAAGCGCTCCACAATGGGGCACTGGGCCTTGCGAAAACGTTTGGCCGCATAACGTCCGGCCGAGTGCGGCAGATAGCGTGCAAATTTCTCCTTGACAGCGATATAGTCTTGCAATGATATGTCACTGATGGTAATGTCATCGCAGCTCCAGCGACCAAAGATCTTTATTTCGGGCCACTCGTTAACCGGCACCGGTTCGTTAAATTCATTCGGATCGTTTTCCTCCCAAACGGCATCTTCTGCTTGATGCTGGTTTTGGTCCTGCAGCTGTTGCGCCTCTGAATTCACATAGCCGGCCTCGTATGGACATTCGCCGTAGTCGGACATATTGATATACTTGCTGCGTTCAAAGTGCACACATTATATACCTGTTCATATGTTTGACAACAGTTTAGAAAACTTGCCTCGTTTCCAGGAGTATATGGGAAAAGTGCGACCGCTTCCGTTGAAAGGAAAATACAAAAGAGATTGATTAAATTGCCAGTGTGGCTGTGTTCTACAGATGAAATATTACCAAGCTCCTCTGAAATCTCTGGCAGCTTTGTTAATAGCTGCTGAATTATATATGTATATACATATATATACGACAGGTAAACCTGTAGCCGTTATTTTTTTCAAATTCCATTTCAAAAAACTTAAAATGCATAAATGAAATATTGTATAAATAACTTTACGATTGCATGCAATCGACGAACAACGAAATTATTTGCACGGGGGTTGTTTATTTTGGCGAAGTTAAAGTCTTATGACAAATGGGCAAAGGGAAATCAAGAAATCAAGTTAAATATGTTTCCAACAGGACTGAAAACCGAAAATAAGACTGGCTAGTTCGATTCACGGCTGTTCCACTAATCCAGGTTCTGTTCAATTTCAATTGAATTTCAAATTTACCGTTATACTGAATGTATTTTTCAACACACGTTTCCCGCTAAATTTGAATTCAAATTTGGTTTTCGACCAAATATAGCTAAATAAATGTGGATTTGGGCTAGGCCTTGCTCAAATGTTTTGTTTTTTGACCGAATCGTTCTGGTTGGAGTTTTGACTTGGTTATTTTTATCAGATTAATGCTTTTGGTGTTGGGCAAATGTATACAGCCAGGATATTTACAGGATATTTCTTGGAGCTCACAAAACGCAGCGATTAAAGTTGGATTAGTCGACTTTGGGGTATTATTTAACAAAACATGTATGTATTTAATATGGAATAAATTCTATTATAATAATAATAATAATATTGTGTGTGCAGTTCTATAACTTCTGGTTTAACAGTAGCATAAAATACACAGTTTTATATTTATTATTTGTAGTTGTAGTTAATATAATACATTTGTTTTGTTTTAAGAAATACAAGTGCCGAAATTGAACAAATAATATAAACAGCTATACACTATATACTTAGATCATAAACGCACACACATTTGTCTTTTGCACACATGCAAATCATATTGTTTGACTATATTAAAAACAAATTAACGTAATTTTTACACGGCGCACATTCAACGTTTTGATGCTGAAAATAAACGAAAAACGCGCGCAGCGTAAAAATTTACGAAATTGAACTTTTCAACTTAATGTAACTAAAGTCCCATGTTGTCGTGTTCGTAGCGTTGGGGAGGATTATCTTCTGAAACTGTAACTGCGTACAACGAGTTGTAATTTCCAAAAAAAAAGAAGGAACACAGTTGTTGTTGTGTTTTAGTTGTCGGAATGGCTTGGTGACTGATAAATGTTGTTGTTGTTGTTGTGGGTTGATGGAGCGCGTGACACAATAGCTGCAAAAGTTTTTGTTGAGCGGAATTTCGTTGAAATAAGTTAATGCTTACACTGCGAGCGTGCTGTTGCGTCCACTTAATCCTTATCGCCCATTTTGGCCTTGGATGTCATATAGATGCCCACAATCAGACCAAAGAGTCCAATGGCCGAGCCGAAAATCTCCACAATCAGTATCTTAACAAATAGCGCAGCATTCGCTGCATCCGAAAGCGCAGCGCCGGAGCCCACAATGCCGACCGCAATGCCGCAGAACAAGTTGACCAGACCAACGGCAAGACCTGCACCGAAAATCAAATAGCCCGAGAACCAATTCTGGTTCATGACGCTCTCGCTGGCTAGCGCCGATTCCATTTTGAACTGCTCCAGCTGGCCGGAGAGCACAATGGCCGTGATCAGGCCGTAGATGGCGACGGCCTCGCAGAAGATGACCGATATCAGATTCTTGGTCTTAATGCGTGGCGCCTTGACGCCGCCGCCCACAATGCTGGTGCCCGTGGTGTGTATGCCAAGGGCGGCGCCGACGACGGACAGGGAGACGGATAGTCCGATGCCTAGGCAGGCCCACATGTACGGGCTTGAGGAGGCCAGGAACCAGCCAACGCTGACGCGTTCGCCCTTGCCAGTCATAACAAAGTAGAGGATAAGTATGGTGGCAGCGGCGAGGAAGAGCCATAGAAATGTTTGCGTTACGACTGTGCGTATTTGTGGCGCCATCTTGCACGTTTTTTTGTCTGTCTATTGTTAAAGAACAGTGCATAAATTGTGATTTTGCAATTAATTCAAGTGGTATTTACCTAATTGCAGGCGTAATTGTATTTTTCTCGGCCGACAGGTGACTGCTTCGTGCGAAAAAAAGAATCCACAATCACATGACGTACATTTTCTCTATCATATGGTATCGAGTAAATCACGCTAATCGATACATATTCGATATAAGGTCAAGTGTCAAAAAGCAAATAAATTTAATCGCTGATGTACTCTAGGCAAAGCTGATTGCTATACAACTCTGCGAGCTGGTGCAATTGCCCAAGTTGATCACAGATGGCGCCAGTGTGCTGCGCGCGTTGATTCAAATCAAGTAAAAAAAAAAAAAGAATAACAAGAATTATATATTTATGAGAAACTGTGCACTGCACATTCATGATTATGCTCTATTAAAGTTGAGCGCAAATTACATTTATTTTTGTATATTTCCCTTTTATTATCTCTGTCTGCGGCTCAATGATTCGCCGCCGCCTGCCAGGTGGGCGGCCATAAAAACGAACAAGTTATTATGTCAATGCTTTTATTTTGTATTTTGCATTGTACGCATGAAAGACTTCCGGCCAGCAAATCCAAAAGAGGCCCGCGACATTTACAGCTCATTGAATTGACCAGGTTGCCGGCTCAGCGGGAGAGCACGTTTAACAGCGACCACGTGATGGCGACATAATCTAAAGTCGCATCATCATTAAATATTTACACAACATTATAATTTTTGTTCTTCTTGAGGCGCGTGCCCGGCAAACACAAAGGCTCTCAAATATTGTTGTTGTCGTGTGACGACAACCACAACATTCAATTAAACGTAATGTGTTGGTTGTTGTCCCTCCAAATAGGCGGCCTACTTTATACCTCTCTCTCTCTCTTTCTCTTGATAATAAATGTAAACTTTCTCACTTGAAAAATCCACCACAGCATAAATAGTCAAAATAAAGGTAGAAATAGAGAGGGTGAGAGGGAGGGGAATGGGGGTAGCGTAGAAGACACGAGGAAATGTGCTGCTGTGGGGTTGGTTTGGGTGGTCATCGCCGTGTGTCTCAAGTCAAATATCACAAGAAAAATCCATTAACCTGCGTTTTTTCCTCTTGACTTATTTTCGGTGTGCGCTTTATCTCTGGGCCCGACACGCTTCTTGTTTATCCGCATACATCTAGGCAAATGGCACTAACCCCAAAATGGTGGAAAGGCGGCAACGTGGCGATTTCAAATACAGTCGAAATGCTTAAAATTTAAATTAAAAAGAAAGGTTGAACGTGGCGTAAAGGGACTTTAGATCTAAAACTACGTTTATAAGGACAAACAGCGTATAAGACAAAATTGTCTCGACACGTCTTTCTTATGCGAATGCTCGATCGCGACTGAGCTCGCGTTCGTTTTATGCTGACAGAGTAACGGAGAGCTGACATGCAGTTTATGCATGTGTGAGTGAGACAAGAAGTAATTTGACTTGTCGAGCTCTTCTTGCAAGAATAAGAGCGCTTACAGACTAGCGGAGAGGTGACAGAAAGTTTATGCATGTGTGAGTGAGACAAGTAGTAATTGGACTAGCCGAGCTCATATGCGAGAATTAGAGTGCGAGAGGAATAGAAGAATTGAGCGAACTTGAGATAAACGGGAAATTGTTGAGCTTTGCCATTTGCCTTGACTATGGGTGCGCATGTATGTGTGTCTGTACATACACACACAACAACAGTTATGCATGTCTGTATATACATAAGATACATTATCTACTTTTACAGTTAAGCCAGAACACCCTGTTTCACTTTGTGAACAGGGTTTCTTGTTCAATTATGTTGTTTTGTCGTTAAATTTAATATGAAAAATGATTTAGATTTGACACAAATGCGCATTTTCCTTTATTTATATTTGTCGCTGAGTTTGGCAGAGTTTATTTTCTGGTCTTTCGAAATCGCCTCGATTGTCTCCACGATCCTTTCTAGCACTACCTCGATTTGTAAAGATCGTTCGGTTAGGCTGTTTCCAATTTTCAAAATTTTGAATACGTTTTTTCATGAATTTTCGTATCAAGCACTTACCGGGCCAAATCCTCGCGCAGAGACATTATTGTTTCAATTTTGGGCGGAGCATGTTGATTCCTGGGACGTGAATCTTTCCCGATTTCCTCCTCTGTAAGTAGAGGCACGGAGATCGGTATTCTGTTCGTTTTGCGTTGCCGCCAAAAGTAAAAATATTGCCTTAAGCCCTGGCCGAGCATTTCCAAAACTTCCCGATCGTTCACAATCAGTTTGGTCTTCACATCTGAATAGGCCGACAGATAAATGGCCAAAAATAGATTCTGCAAGAATCGCATGTACATTTTGCTACCTTTTTTTTTCTTTTTCTTTGCTTAAATTACTTACCACGGCAATGATGTAAATGCTGAAGATAACGGCCAGAAAAAAGATCGGACCTAGCACGGGCTGAATTTCATACATTGGCCAAAAATCAATGTCGGACATTTGAATTCGCATCAGGAACAAGATGGACTCATAATTGGAGCAAAAGTCTTTCAGATCGTCGCCAAACAACATGGTGCCCAGCTGGGCAAAGGCGAAGACTGTGATCACATAGATGAATAGAAAGCCGAGAATGTTTTTACGGGACTGTACAAAAGGACATAGATTAGAGATGAATAAGCCGGATAAGCCGGATAAGCCGGATAATCTACTACCACTCTCAGGGTGGCCAGAAGCCTTTTCTGCGACCGGTGAAAGGATAGGAATCTGATCAGCTTGATCCAAGCCGTGACCTCCAGGATTGCCATCGCATTGATATATGTCTCCCAGCCAACTATTAAGCTATCCATATTGATGTAGCTGCTTTTATCTTTTTCATAGGCGCTTTTGATCCTTTCAATCTCGATGTAGTGCCAGATATTATACGCCAGCACATAGTATGACACCTAAATATTTACAATGGAAGGACAATCTTGAAGGACAATAAAGGAGTCAATCAATACGCACGAGCAAGAAAAGCAGGTCCGGATAATTGCTCACACGCTTAAAATAAGCTTTTGGGCTGAGCCAAAAAATTTCGTACACTTCCTGATACGTATAATAAATAATTATTGAATAGAATATAACGCCGGCAATTATTCTAAACGCGTCCATAAACAGAAAGCATTCCAGGAATATGCACTGAATGAACGCAGTTGGGATCACAAGGCCCGTTGGCATTACTTCGAATATTAATCTGAAAGATGAATAAATAAAAAATAAAAATAAAATAAAATAAAAGTAGCAAATGCTCTGAACCCAATCCAAAATCGTCCATTATACTGGATCCGAGCTCAAGTACAAGCCTATTCTTTTTGTCTACTTCACAAGCCTCTCTCTCTCTTTTTGTCCTATATCTCTCTTATACAGACATTCAAGTACAACCGGAACGAGAGCCCTTTTTCTGCCTACTTCACTAGTATATATGCATCTCTTTCATACAGACATGTACAGTATACTGGATCTGTGATCAAGTACAAGCGGAACGAGAGCCTATTTTGCTGCCTACTTCGCAAGCCTCTCTCTCTCTCTCTCTCTCTTATATCTCTCTTATACAAATAGTACAGTATATTGTCTTATACAGACAGTCAAGTACAACTGGAACGAGACCCTTTTTTCTGCCTACTTTACTAGCATTTCTCTCTCTCTTTCTCTCTTTTTCTCTCTCTTATATACATGTCTTATACAGATCGATCGATTGGAACTTACTTAAGAGTCTGAAACATTCGGTTGGCACCATAAAAGACGTTGAGCTCTATAACAAAGAGTCGTGTTGCTTGATCAATCCATCTGCTGTAATAGAGGGGCATCAGCCAGTTCTCCATGGAAGTTTCGTTAATATTCAGGTTAATTGAAAAGCCGCCACCTTGGTAGACGCAATGCGCTGTCTGAATTTTTTTGGCATCCGCTTTGTAATTAATGTTAACATGTCTGGGAAAGGGATCAGGTTTAGAAAGGGAACTAAACTTTCATGTGGTGGCTACCCCTTACCCTTTATGGGTGCCTTTGAATTCCAATTTGGATGAGTAGTCCGGGTAGCAGGGCCTCTTGTCCAGCCCATCCACTGTCAATTTGTTCAAGCATTCCTTTAGAGGTTGGACGCGTATCTGTCGGATTCTCGGCACGCCCACAATCAAGCCCTCGCCAAATATGTATTCTTCTAGCTCCCTATTCAACTGTTTCGCATAAATACTGGGCATAAAGTGCTCCAAGAGATATAACCAGATACCCTCTATGGTTAACACATCCTTGAAATTGGGCGCAAAATAATGCTGCTTCCTTATGTACGGCACCGTATCGATAAAAGTTCTCTCCGTTTGTATGTTGCTGTAATAGATGTACTTGGAACGCATCGATTCTGCGGCTGCGGCGAAAAATAATTGAGCTTAAAAAAGATGACTCCATTGACTCCATCCAGGCGAAGGATCTACTCACCGCAGTAGCTGCAGGCGAGCAGTATCAGGAGTATAAAAAATTCAGTTATAACTTTGCGAATTATTTGTTCGCTGATGAAGTCGAAGCACACCTTCTTCGTAGTTCGCTCGGACATTTTCTCGAACAGATCTTTTATTAAGTGAAGTCGAAATTTGACAGATATTTCGATTTGAAAGTACTTGATGAGAAGCACACTACAGTTTTATACCCTGAACCCATTAAAAATGGGTATAAGGGTATATTGTATTTGTGCGAAAGCCAAATGTATGTAACAGGCAGAAGGAAGCATCTCCGACCCCATAAAGTATATATATTCTTGATCAGCATAAATAGTCGAGTCGATCCAGCCCTGTCCGTCCGTATGTATGAACGCAAGAATCTCAGAACCTATAAGAGCTAGAGAAATTTTAGACGTAGATGCTCCTAGCTCCCGCGCAGATCGAGTTTGTTTCCGACAATCGATAACTTGCTCCGTTTCCAAGCAATCGATAAAAATCGATATCGATATCCTGTTTTTTGGGCAATTTTGGTAAATAATAAGAACTAGAGTCACCAAACTTGACATATAGCTTCTAAAATAGAATATATATATGCATTTGATGTTGGAAGAAGAGGGTTCAGGGTATCCCCTAGTGGGAAGCTCCCGACTATAACCTCTTACTTGTTTATGACTAAAGTAGATGCTTATAGAAAATATAGAATTAAACAAATTAAACATTTATAAATGAACGCTTAAGAGTTATGTATATTAGAGCATCGTATATTTATCAAGGCGGTGAATTAATAAGTTTGTCAAATATATTCAATCTGTAAAATAATGATGAAACAAGTATGTTGGGAGTGCCTGGCTATGAGATACCCTTCACCTAAACCTAAGCATTGGAATATAGAATATTATGTAGATAGGGTAAACAGATACTTATGGCAAAACCCAGTCACGTTGGGTGAACTGTTTTGCACCTCATAGCTTGGTCAAGAAATACCCTAAGAAATACCCCAAGAAATACCCGAGGGTATATTGAAAACAAAAAACAGGGGTGTTGAAGGTCAAGCTAATTTCTGAACTTTCACGTAAACTAAATTAGTTAAAATAGCAGAATAGACCTAAAACCCAATCGCAACTCCAATTTCAATATTGCATGCATTGAATGGATGAGTTCACATGAAAACAGGATCACACATTTCCCTTAACAACTTGTGTATTTCAGAGCCGATCTTGATGAAATTTCTTGTAGCAAATCTTATTGTGTCGATTGTTGTTATGTGGATGGGAAGAGGGATTCGGTATTCAAAAACATTAAATGTACTTGATCTGAATGTAATATACAAGATTAAACCTATCAAACTTGGTGACTTTTGAACTGATTTTTATCGATTGTTTGGCAAAAGGGCAAGTCATCCAGGTCTTGCAGCACACTTGTACTCGGGTACCTGTGTACCTTAAGGACATACGTTCAAGGCTCGCAAGCTCTTAAGGCTTCTGGGGTCAACATGCGACAGACGGAGAGACGGACAGATGGACAGACAGACTGACTAAGAATATATAAATTTAATGGCTTCGAAGATGCCTTCTTCTGCCTGTCGTACACAAAGTCATAATACCCTATTTCTTCCCTGTTCTATGTAAATGCATATGGATGCGTGGGCGCATCAGTGGGCGTGGCATGTCGTGAGGCGAATGGCATGCGGGTGTTTATCTTAAGAGAGCTGGCGTATCTTGTTCTTAGGCGATTTATTAAAGTGAAGCGGCCAAGTTGAAGGGCGCTGCCTACAAGTATGCAACACTTTGTTAACACTTGACTGTGCTCGCAAAAACATGTGGCATATGCACAGGCGCACCCATTGTTAGCTGCCGGCCGAGCAGCCAGCCACTTGGGAGGGGCAACAAAAACAACAAAAACAACAAAAACAACAACTCCGGCCTGCCATAGACCGGAAGTAGCCCGGCATATAAAAGCTCTTCCGCTGCTTTCCGGTGAAATGTTGCATTTGAAGCCGTGCTGCCTCAGACATGAACACTACAATGCACAACAACAACAACAATAACAACAACATGAACAACAACAACAACAATAACAACAACATGAACAACAACAACAATAAGAGTCGGCTGCAACTCTTGCTCTGCCCTTAAAGTACGTCAAAATAAACTACAGCATGAGCAATCAATTGTGGGCATATACGATTGTTTTATACTCTATAAGATTTGTTTTGTTTTTATATGAAAATTCAGTTTCCATGAAGGAGTTATTATCTAAAAGATTTTACATTTTTTTTGCCCTATTTAAATTCTACGGTTATTATGGAGAGAACTTTAATAAAACTTAAATGAATATTTACTATATTACTTATCCTTCATAAAAATTTAAAACTTATAAAAACCGATCGGAGAGATCGACTGGATGAAACCTCCGGAATCTCCTACGCATTCGGAATTGCTCCAATTCTTCGACTCTATATGAAGATTATCATTCTCGTTAAATATTCTCTTTTTTTTCATAATACATATATTTATTTTATGGAATTTTTCAATTCCTTTTTGATTCGACAATGCATAGATTCCAGCTATACACATCGAATCGATAATGGGCCTATTGAAAACTTCGATAGTCTATAGTCTATCGATAGTCTACAGTCTATCGATAGTCTATAGTCTATCGATAGTCTACAGTCTATCGATAGTCTACAATCTATCGATAGTCGATAGTCTATCGATAGTCGATAGTCTATCGATAGTATATAGTCTATCGATAGTCGATAGTCTATCGATAGTATATAGTCTATCGATAGTCTACAGTCTATCGATAGTCGATAGTCTAGTCTAGTCTAGTCTAGTAAAAATACGCATTCTGTTGTGCTGTAAGTTATATATAAACACATTTTGTATCTTTTTTTGCAAAACTATCAAGTTATCGAAAATTTTGCTATCGGATAATATGACAAACCAAAAATGTAGTTAACCAATTATTATTTATAATTTTATATTATTTTCGATCAATATAAATGCAAGTTCAAGTGCAACATTTCGAAATTATTTCTAAATATAAAAAATATAACCAATGAATCGAGTTAGCAAATATGCCCCACATTAGGGTAACTGCCACTGCAATAAGCCTGACCGCAATTTAAGCTTACATTTGGCCAGTTTCTGGTCAAGCACAAGTCCAGTAAATACACTATACGAAGGGGGCGTGCTCAGGTGTTCCGGTTGGCATCAGGCTGACACAAAAGGCTGTTGAGAATTTATTTCCTGTTGGACGTTAGACATTTAGGCCGAAACGGCAGCAAATCGAAAGAGGGCAACAGATCAAATGGCCACTTGCACCTCAGATAACTGGGCTTATCATCAGGCGACTGGCCAGCATGGGTTTAACAACGTCAACAACCTGGCCAACTGTATTCAATACAGAGAGGGAGTTCTTTGAATCGAACGCGCTTGGGAATTTGGCTTGAGTTAACCGTGTCGGGCTTGGGGCTTGCTGTAATTGAATTGGTTTTTTGCATTTTTTTCATTGCTTTAACCGCCCAGCGAGAAATTTAAATTGATTTTATTTGCGCTAAGTGGCCATCTGGCCATTAATGTAATATGGTATAATGCAATGCTCAGCGCGCAAGTTATGCAAATGTAATTGGTATTTAAACCAAATTTAACTGCCGTTGATTTTTCGCTTTTGTTTTTACCATATTTGATTTTTACACGTGGCCAGCAAATGGAGTTCAGTTCACGATATTCAATATGCATTATACATGTGTGCAAACAATATTGCCAGGTTCTTACATTAATTAAGAACAACAAGAAAGATGTGTCTCTAATACCCTTCTCAGAAGGTATTATGATTTTGTCATGAAAGGAGGTAAAGGAGAGAAATGAGACCATTCCGACACAGTATTATACTCTCAATAATTTTTAACAGCCAAAATTAGTTTTATTTTCATTTTTATACCCTGAACCCATTAAAAATGGGTATAAGGGTATATTGTATTTGTGCAAAATCCAAATGTATGTAACAGGCAGAAGGAAGCATCTCCGACCCCATAAAGTATATATGTTCTTGATCAGCATCAATAGCCGAGTAGATCTAGCCATGTCCGTCTGTCTGTCTGTCCGTCCGTCCGTCCGTATGTATGAACGAAAGGACCTCAGAACCTATAAGAGCTAGAGACTTGATTTAATTTTAGATGTAGATGCTCCTAGTTCTCGCGCAGATCGAGTTTGTTTCCGATAATCGATAACTTACTCCGTTTCCAAGCAATCGATAAAAATCGATATCGATATCCTGTCTTTTGGGCAGTTTTGGTAAATAATAAGAACTAGAGTCACCAAACTTGACATATAGCTTCTAAAATAGAATATATATATGCTTTTGATGATGGAAGAAGAGGGTTCAGGGTATCCCCTAGTCGGGAGCTACCGATTAGAACCTCTTACTTGTTTTATTTATTTCTGTTTATCAACATTTTTTGTCTAAGCCCGGCGTTTATTAGTTTTATGTTGTTTATATATAAGTCAAATCCTATTAGTATTATATTATATCCAATATTACATAGCTCTATATATTCGGCTTATGTTTGTTTTTTTACGTTCTGTTTTCTAAGATATTTTCATCGAATTCAGCATTTACGAGCTCTACTATGTTTGCACAACAGCAAAGCCATATGGCAAATGTCTACAAGGGTATTCAGTCTTCGTATTAACCCTGCATATTGTTCTGCATAGCGATGTATTATATGAAGTCACAGTTGCCTTCTTCTTTTATGCCGGATCAAGTCACACTTTGAATACTCTTATTAGAATGATAATACTCTATCCAATATCATTAAGACTTTGTTTATACAACAAGATATTCTCTCTGTTTGAATAATGAATGAAATTCAGTTTCACAACACCGTGTTGTAAATGATAACTTAACAACACTGAAATACGCACAAGCACTCATTCATGCAAAAGTTACAGGCTTTTGTTATTTTAACAAGACTTTTCCAGGCTGACTGCAGACGAAGCATGTGAAAACTAAAGGTGACATTATCTCAGCTGCCTGAGCGTTGAACTGGTAAGCAACACGTCACTGGTTCTAATTGGGCAGCATTATAAGATTTGTCTATTAGTTTCAGGCGAATGCATATAAGGCT